AAATTGGTCCACTCGAGCAGTTTCTTCAATCTGTTCCCTTTGGACCAATTTGGAGCACATTTGGCGACCGGAGGCCTCGTATAGAGCAGGCCTCAGCAAACCACTTTGTTCGTTCGACCTGTTCCCCTTCAATCTGTTCCCGTTGGACCAATTTGGAGCACATGTGGCGACCGGACGCTTGCTATACCAAGCGTCCGGTTAACACTTTGGAGCCAAATTGGTCCACTCGAGCAGTTTCTTCAATCTGTTCCCTTTGGACCAATTTGGAGCACATTTGGCGACCGGAGGCCTCGTATAGAGCAGGCCTCAGCAAACCACTTTGTTCGTTCGACCTGTTCCCCTTCAATCTGTTCCCGTTGGACCAATTTGGAGCACATGTGGCGACCGGACGCTTGCTATACCAAGCGTCCGGTTAACACTTTGGAGCCAAATTGGTCCACTCGAGCAGTTTCTTCAATCTGTTCCCTTTGGACCAATTTGGAGCACATTTGGCGACCGGAGGCCTCGTATAGAGCAGGCCTCAGCAAACCACTTTGTTCGTTCGACCTGTTCCCCTTCAATCTGTTCCCGTTGGACCAATTTGGAGCACATGTGGCGACCGGACGCTTGCTATACCAAGCGTCCGGTTAACACTTTGGAGCCAAATTGGTCCACTCGAGCAGTTTCTTCAATCTGTTCCCTTTGGACCAATTTGGAGCACATTTGGCGACCGGAGGCCTCGTATAGAGCAGGCCTCAGCAAACCACTTTGTTCGTTCGACCTGTTCCCCTTCAATCTGTTCCCGTTGGACCAATTTGGAGCACATGTGGCGACCGGACGCTTGCTATACCAAGCGTCCGGTTAACACTTTGGAGCCAAATTGGTCCACTCGAGCAGTTTCTTCAATCTGTTCCCTTTGGACCAATTTGGAGCACATTTGGCGACCGGAGGCCTCGTATAGAGCAGGCCTCAGCAAACCACTTTGTTCGTTCGACCTGTTCCCCTTCAATCTGTTCCCGTTGGACCAATTTGGAGCACATGTGGCGACCGGACGCTTGCTATACCAAGCGTCCGGTTAACACTTTGGAGCCAAATTGGTCCACTCGAGCAGTTTCTTCAATCTGTTCCCTTTGGACCAATTTGGAGCACATTTGGCGACCGGAGGCCTCGTATAGAGCAGGCCTCAGCAAACCACTTTGTTCGTTCGACCTGTTCCCCTTCAATCTGTTCCCGTTGGACCAATTTGGAGCACATGTGGCGACCGGACGCTTGCTATACCAAGCGTCCGGTTAACACTTTGGAGCCAAATTGGTCCACTCGAGCAGTTTCTTCAATCTGTTCCCTTTGGACCAATTTGGAGCACATTTGGCGACCGGAGGCCTCGAGACTGTAGCAAAATATTGGGATCAATACAGACAGTTGCTCTTTTTATATTTAGCCCAAATTTACAACTATTTAATAGATGACGACTTTAAAATTGAAACTTATAAATTTGCCAATTTACAAAGGGAAATTATATATGGATATAAAAACATGTTGGAACAACAACGACCCGTTTGTACACTAAAATGATTATATTTATACATTTTTTATTTTTTTTCAGCCTCTAACCGAGAGTCTTGGCTTGAAAACGGCAAGTGTCGGTGTAAAACTAAAAAATATACTTGGATTTTTTATTTTTTTCATACGTCTTCATCTCACGGTGGTCCACGAGAGACTGGGAAAATTTGATCATCCCCACCATTTTTCGTTATCTAGTATGGGGTCGGAGGTCGTAACTATATAAAGAGATGCAGTCTCGCGCGCGAGCTTCTTTTACTTTAATATTTCACGTTGTCCAGAAGTAAAAGAGGAGCAGGGAGATGACGCCGTGAAATATGGGGGGGCTGGTCCCCGCTCGGCCCAAAATGCGTTTTTGGCGCAGTGTTGGTTCCAAATTGGCTCCACATTTGAATTATTTTTTGTTATTTATTTAAATCAAATAAAAAAAAACCAAAAATTGAATTTACTCGGCCTCTAGAGGCTAGTTGTTGGCTTGAAAACTCCGAGTCGGTGTAAAACCAATTTGGAGCCAATTTGGTCGACTTGAACATGTATGCAAATTAAATCTATTTACCCAGTCTCTCGAATAGACTTGGTGGTTTGAAAACGCCAAGAGTCGGTGTAAAACCAATTTGGAGCACATGTGGTCGACTTGAAATGGTCAGACTTTAAAAAATTAATATACTCTGGCTCCAATCGAGAGCCGTTGGCTTGAAAACACCAAGTGTCGGTGTAAAACCATTGTGGAGCATATATGGTAGGCTCTGGAACTGTATACTCAGACTTGAATTTACTCCGCCTCGGATTGATAGTTGGTGGCTTGAAACGCCAAGTGTCGGTGTAAAACCAATTTGGAACCAATGTGGTCATTAAACGGTGATTAAAAATGTAAACAGTGTCTGGTGGGAGGTTGAGGTAATAAAAGCAACATTGTCGTACATCATGATATAGGTATATTTCAAGCGTTCATCACAGTCTGCGACAAAATTTCTTTAACTTTTAGCCAATTATCGGGCAGAAACTTGTCGTGTCGAAATCTCACAAATTCGGCCAAAATTTGCCCATTTTCACCGATGCATACTTTAAACTCCATCAGTGGTCGTCCGTATGGCGCATATATTTGTTCACAAAACATCACCTCTTCGGGGTCATATAAAAATTTAACACTTTTCATAAGCTCGTCATCTTCTGCGCCAGCGGGGGGATTTATAGAAATTAAAGTGTTTTCCAATAGAGTATAACTCAATTCGATCGTGTGATGTGGTTTAATTTTATAAATACAAACTCCATTTTTAGCAAATCCCAATACTCCGTCCAGTTTTAATGATGCATTTTCTAGTTTAATTTGCGTTATGATCGAGTCTATATTGATGACATCTGTCGCCGGATAAAATGTATTGCATACACCAGTGCCCCATATTTGCATCAAATTTATCGCATCAAGAGTGTTCATTTTTTTACTTTTAATCACGGCGTGATGTTTATTGTTGATATTTCGAGCAAATGTCGAATATTGGGCTTCGGCTGTGCCAAACACATCAATAAGTTTGGCCACATTCTCCAGCACCTCTAGTACCACAAAATAATTACCTTTGACACCCATCCTTTCAAAGCGACGGCGCAACTCTTCTGTCGCATCCGACGTGGTTGGTGTAAATAGTCTACCACAAATTATAGCACCTCGGGTTCGAATACCATCCAGTTTTGGGGCCAAAAATGCAAGCTTTTTCATTTTTGTAGACATTTTAAAATTTCTACTCTTGTTTAAATTGTACAAAGACCACATGCTGAGGGGGTTAATGAAATCGTACACTTCGCTTCGGGTGCAATCGTGTAGAGCGCCGCGAATCAGATCCCGAGTAACCGGCGACAGTTGGTCTTTACAGTTGAACGCCATCATCTCATCTTTGGAAACAAACTCCTTTTCAATATGAAAAGAGTAGTGGGATTTTTCGTTTTGGTATCGGGCTTCGGCAAAAGTAATGCGAATACCGTCGTCAAGAAAAAACATTTTTTGTTCCACTCTCAGCACGGGCCTGGGCGCCACATCACCGCCCTCGCAATAATTACCCGAAACGTTTATTCGTTGTGCACAAATGCTCAAGTCCTCAGAGTCCAAATTGATTTCTTCACTGGAAACCTTGGTGGCCTGAATCATGTCCAGATCCACTACAATAAATTCGTGTATTGTGTTACGACATATTTTCAATTGATTGGTTACAATTTTCACACCACTCGTATCGCAGCGGGTCACAATCTTGCGCAAATGCCACTTGTCGCCCACCTTGTATTTTTTAGTTAGATGTTGATTAGTTTTTACTTGTAATGCGTTTGTTATACGCATATCTTTGGCATACGAGATATACTTTGTACGAGTGTACGAGCGCGAGGAGATTTGCGCCACCGTGTCGATAACTTTTGATATGAAATCCATAGAAACGAAATTGAAATCAATTCTAAGCTCGTACTCCATGGTCCTTGTCCGTCCGTTCGCCTCCTAATAAGAATGCTGAATGATTTTAAAAATTATTTTTGTTGCATTTTTAATATATATATCGTGTCGATTATTTAGAACAGAGTCCAAGGGAATGCGTTTGTACCCATCGTCGATAGATCGTAGTCACAAGATGATGCCCGCCAGCATACAAACTCCACTAGACCGGTTGGAATATTCGGTCAACTTGGGCGCCCACCAAGCACCGTTCAGAATATACGCACGCGATTGCGCCAATCAGGTCATCACTTTGACCGCCTTTGATAAATTTAATGTAGACGTTTTGCTATTGCAAAACTTTACTTGCTCCAAATTGACGTCTACCAGTAAACCACAGTGTCACTTTATGAGCGACACTGAATCGGAATCGAGTTTTAATTGGTTAGTTTCCTCCAAAGATTCGAAAATTACATGCGCCATTGGTATACAGGCCAGACAACCAATCACCGTATCCAAATATACACACCATACCCGTGATGGAAACACGAGTTTATCAGTGTTGACACTGTTGAAGGGAAAACCGATAGTGTTTAGTTCAAGCGTTATCAAAACGGATGAACTTACGTTTACCAATATTAACCAATTGAAAGAGTCGGCGGGGTTCACGGGATGTGTGGCCAGTGTACATATAGATAGTGAGGGTATGACCACAGCGGCACAAGAGGCGTTGGTTAATAAAGTTCACAGCGTCTTACCCGGCAGCGAGGCGTTACCCGCCAATTCCAACACTGACCAACTCTTCATCGATATGGCTCACCAACACGAACAATTCAACGACGGTATAACCACCGGTGGTATGGGGACTATAATCACGATATACACGTCAATAACTCATTTAATGGATAAAACGGATAGTGATGAACAATCTTTAAATCTAATAGAATCTCTGACGAAAGCCATGATGATTACGTAATCGCTTTGATTATACATAAAACCACGGCGTATCCGAAGGATTGTGTTAGTTGAACAGATAACCCTGTCTACGATGGAAGCTAAGAGATTTATTGCCTTGGAGGGATTAGCGTGTACTTTTAAAACTACACTTTTAAAACGGTTTGCCGCCACCAATAAAAAGGTGACTGTACATTTGTCGGATTTTGCCGAAGTAATACAAGAGTTGGATTTACAAAATAAAAAAACGGCCCCTCTCATCTATACCGCCGCCCGAGTTGCCGAAATGGCCAAGTGTTCCGCCGGTGTTCATATATTCGACAGAGTCGCCATAACCTCGGTCCTATATACTCACATTTTCAACGAAGATGATGATGACGCGCGCCACGACTCTATATTGGCAGATTGTGCCTCGCTGAAGAAGAGCGGCTTGATGGCGGATTGGGGCCGTACATTGATCATGTTGACCAAACCGGGTCAGGAAGATGAGTTGGTGGAGAATATGAGAAAACGAGGCAACGGGCTGGATTGGCTTAGTGTGGAGTATGTGCGTCGACAAAATCAGGTTTTTAAAATATTTGCTGAACAATTTGGATTGCCCGTGTATGAGCTAGATTTGGCCAAATCTTGGACAGACCAACAAGATGAAATTGTAAAATTTTTGTGGGATATGTGTCTTGAATAAAGTATTTCAAAGAGTTTTTTGTTTTTTTTTTTGTTATTAGTAAATAAGATGGTTAAAGGCACAATAATATTCTTTGCATATATGGCGTTGAGTATAGGATTCAAGGAAATTGATGAAACTATACGCCATCGTTTGAGACAAGATGCAAAAGCCGTGTTCTCATGGGTACCTCTCGGCCCACCACCACCACTATCAAATAATAATGGTGCCGCCCCCACCTCTGACAATCATACCACTACACGACAGCAAAACGCTAGGGCCAAGTCCTTTGACTCTCGACCAAACGACGGTACTGCATCCAAAAATGCAGCCAATACGACAAACCCAAGTCTGGCTGCAAATAATACAACGCAAACCACAACACTCCATTCTATACCCGACAATAAGCCTATCGATTCCACAATAATTTCAGGTAACGAAACAATTGCATCCACCGAATCTACTACCACCCACGACAAGCCCATTGATAAGCCAAACGTTTCCAACGTTACTATCACCGAGCCTACTCCCAGCGACAAGCCCCTTGATTCAAATGTTGCGCCAAATGCCTCAAACCCTACTCCCAACGACAAGTCTGTTGAGGCGCAAAACGTTTCCAACGTTACTACCATCGAGCCTGCTATAAAAGACAAACCAATTGATTCCAATGTTGCGCCAAAGGTCTCAAACCCTACTCCCAGGGACAAGCCTGTTGAGGCTCAAAACGTTTCCAACGTTACTACCACCAAGCCTACTCCCTTTGATTCAAATGTTGCGCAAAATGCCCCCAAACCTACTCCCAACTTCAAGCCTGTTGAGGCGCAAAACGCCACAGAGCCTGTTGAGGCGCAAAACGTTTCCAATGTTGCAGCGACCACAGAGCCTGCTACAAACGACAAGCCGCCAATTGATAATGCGCAAAAAGGCTCAGTCGAACCCACCCCAAGGGACCCAAAAGTTGACTCATCGTTGCCGCAACCCATATCTAGCGATTCCAAAAATGATACCAATCTAGACGACAAGTCTCAAGTTGGACAAGAGGGTTAAATTTTAAATAGAGTTAAAGACAATCACCAATATAATTTTAAATGTTTATTTTTCGTTTAAAAACACCACAAATTTGACAAATGTAAATGAGAGTACTTTCTTCGTCACCGCGGCGCAGCTGGATTTCTCGTTTCAAAAAGGTGTGTTGGCAACCGGTTGTGGCGCATCGGTGTGATTCTGAAATTGAAAAAAATTTTAAACTCTATTAATATATAGATATTTTACCCATACATTTGTTTTTTTTAAACCATAGTTACCGTTTCCTGCGACAAGGTTGGTTCCTGATAAAATTGACAAGTTTTGGTGTGATTCAACGAGCAACGTTTACATGTTTGGTTAGACGTTGGAGAAATTTTATTTTTTTTTGATTTTTTCTTACGACCCTCCTCTCTATTCGTTTCCATTTTTTTTGCAGTTTTTTTATTTTTTGGTGCGACTACTCCATCACCATCTAGTTTACGTTTCGATGCCGCCTTGGTGTCACCTTTAGTTTTTTTAATTTTTCGCGTCGTTTTATTCGGCTGAGGTTTTGGCAACTCTTCAACTTCACTGTCCGAATTCAACACTATACAGGAAGTTTTGTCCGAGGACGAATCGTCAAACACTTTGAAAGACTCCATCCTTTATTCTTATATTAGTTTGGTTAGTTTGGTTAGCACAAGAGACGGGCGTCGAGTATAGACTCTATGTTTTGGGGGAGCTCTTTATATACCACCTCTTCGTTTAGGCTAGCTCGCAATAGCGCCAAATTGCAAACTTGGTCAACTTTATCTTCCTCCATGAGTTGTTGCAATTCTACAAAACTGTCATCAATATCAGACACACTTTGGTCCATCTCAGCGTCTGCTGTGCGATGGGGTTCCTCGGCGGCATACTCTTCCAATCCGCTGTCACAAACAATCTGTAAACGTGGTTCTCGTTGTGACTCTGGTTCACAAATAAAATCATGGGGTTCAACGATAGTGCCAGTGGTTGGTGATGAGGGTTTATCAAGGCAACGTGGTGCGTCTAGTGTCCCGTCAATATTGCGGTTAATCAGTAAGACAAGTTTGTCGCCATCGCATGGTTTACCAATATCGCATGTACTCGGCGAGGCTGGGTGATTGGCGCTAGACGGTTCATTTTGTACACCAATATCATGTTTACTCTGCACTAATGAGCAATCGTCGCTAGACGGCTCTTTTTGTGTACCAATATTGCAGCGATTGGCGCTAGACGTCTCTTTTTGTGCATCAGTATCGTGTGTGTTTGGTGGCTCTAAGGTTGATGGTGGTGGTAGTGGTGGTGATGATGGGGGTTGATTCAAAGCCACCAAGCGATCTTTGTCGTCGGCGTGTTCTGCGACAACTTGCAAACACTCGTCAATTTTAGTCACAACTTGATCGTCTTCTTCATAAAACTCGTTGTCCACTATACTACATGCGCCGGTTTCTTCTACAACGCCGTCGGTTCTTTCGTCCGTTTCCGATGACCAGACGGACCCCACTTCTTCGTCTTCCTCGTCCACTTCCGATCCATAATTGAGCGCGTCTTTTGCCAAATCTTGATAAATGTTATTTTCAACAAAATTGTCCATATTCATGGTGCCCGCCGTAGTGTGTTTTTGAAACGACTCGGAAAACAGAACCATAATTTGATTGGTAATGTGATTCAAGAAATTGGTGTATAACGGCTTTGGCGTGAGGCTATTTTTCGTTTCAAAATTAAAACAGGCGTTTATAAACGATTGATGGCAAACATCCGGGTGCGAAACCCAATTGTCTAAAACGGTGGCCGCCCCGGAACACATGGTGTTGACAAGTGGCAAAGGATGAGCGGGTAAGGATCGCAAACCGGTCGCCGCTATCCACGATACAAACGCATACCAAAGACATTCTTCGTGCATACTAGTACAAAGAGCCACTATTGACGCCTTATCCGAGGTAGACAGTCTACCATCAATGTACAATTTGTGAATAACTTGCTTCATTTCGTCCGTTATATATGGGCTACGATTTATTTTACTCAAATTGTACAAATCTAGGAGGCCCGCAAACACCTTTTTGGTCATTTTGCTTTCGTTCACAGTTGATTTAACTTTGATGCGAGAACCCATTAAAGTATTGAACAAAGAACGTTTTAAATTTCCTACATTAGACGACATTTTATTGTTTACTGGGTAGTAGAGACCCCTTACACATTCGACATGGATATTGTGAGCGAGTGTGGTAGTGTGTACAATACTTTTTGAACAATTGGCCAAGTTTGTTGCTTTGACCACATTATAGGCTATATTGGTAGTGGGAGGGGATAATATATAAAATAACCACACGGTATGGAAAAAAGCAATCTGCAACAGGCAGAGCAAGTAAAGGTCTGTGAAGACATGATGTCCGAAGTCAGAAATATGAACCCGGTAGATTTGTTGGATTTGATAAATAATCAGTATATGCGACCGGGCTACCGTTATATTATAGGACGAACCCCGACGCAAACGCGCGGAGAAAGATATGGCGCGCATCCGCGAAAAGCAAAAGAGGACAAAACGTTGGGATATTACTGTGAATTGGCCCATGTTGTCGATCAAGAAACACCGCCTAGACGTTGTGGGTTCAGGGTTGATGTAGGCTATGTACCACCAAAACGGCCACAGTTGCGCGTCGATATAAAGGCGACCTTCAATGCCATACAGAAAATTATGCGGCAAGCTTCGTCGCCCTTGGAGCTGGAAAGGCGAGTCTACCAGAGATTTGATCAACTCTACAAAGCAATGATGGCCAGAAAGTTACCCTATAGAGTTTTAAACACTTTTTTAACAAAGTTGTTTGACTATACATTTCCACGGGACATTATAGTGATTCTGATAATGGTTATAGTGAAACGGATGAATGTCGAAAAAACCAAAGTCCCACTAACTGTTAAAAAAATACCTTTGTACACGGCCAACTTGTTTCTTCATTTGTCAAAGATTCAAAAACACTACGACTCTATATTGTTTAATCATGCCAAGATTGAAAAAATATGTCGGTGGATCAAGAAAAAATTTGGCAACACCCGTTGTGGTAACCTGTTGGAAGCGACCCTGTACACACTTGTTGATGATTCCAGTTGCCAAAGTAATACTCCTCCATCATTGATGAATACGGCGGCCAAAGTTTTAATACAAACAGACGCTGAATTGTACAAAAGTCTATCATCTATGGGAATGGTATTGCCGCAGTTTAAGGAGCCGTCGTGCGCTAGAATGGAGCCGGCCATTTTAGAAATGTCAACATATTTGCCATATATTATTGACAATCGAAGAAGGTGTTTGATGGATATTCACGTTTTTCGCAACGGTCTCCTGGAACGACACTATATAATTCCCTATAAAGTGGGAGAGCCCCGGCGTCGACGCTTTTTTCTACCAAACCGAAATTTCCCCTCGTCTACACTGACCGTTGGTTTATAAACTCTAATCAGCCCAATGGTACATGTGCATATTGGCAAATAAAAATGTATACCGCCGAGTTTTTGTTTTTTTTCTTCACTCTTGCCCGCAAATAATAGCATCATCATCATCGACATTATTTGTTTTTTCACAACCAGAGTAATATCTAGTCGCAAAATCTAGAGCCGCGTGGGCACCAAATTTATTGGCATAATGGTGGGTAATGTTGATGGTAGAATGGCGCAACAATTGCCTCAATCCATACACATTTCTTTGCGAGGTTATACTCTCGTAGGCGACCAAACATCGAAACAGTTTAAACCCGTCACCCTTGCGCTTTTTCCCCCCGTTAACCCGTGTCCAAATCTGGTCAAACTCTCGCAACGCTCGACAGTATAATCGAGCCAATTTTTCATCGTCGCCTTCGCACGAGCTCGTGTACAACAGGATACGGGGCGCTACATAACAAGCCACGCTCGGCGCCATCACAAAGGTCACCATGCCCGTTTTGCTACGAAATTGGCATGAACCCGTTGCACACAAGTCGTCCCATTGTTGTTTGGTC